ACCTTATTTTGAAAAACCAATTCCTCCTATTTTAATTCATTGTGATAACACTGCTGCAATTGGTAGAGTTCAAAACCGTTATTACAACGGTAAATCCAGACCTATAAGGAGGAAACACAGTAATATAAGATCATATTTGACAAATGGTACCATTAATGTTGATTATGTCAAATCTTGTGATAATCTTGCAGATCCTCTAACTAAGGCCTTAACAAGAGAAAAGGTCTGAAGTAATAATTTATTGAAATTGAGGGATTCAAGTTGGAGCATTGAATTTTGAGGTCTTCTCTTCATTCAAATATCTGAATCTTCTTTTGTTACTTATCGTGATGTAGGAGAGTCTTGAATGGTTGCAAACTTTTTTACTGCTGCGAAACTTAAAACGATGGTCATAGGTTTGTTGTCGCTATGACGACGAATGGTTGTCGTTATTGAGAATGGCAAGGTAAAAATCAATTTCCATCTCATGTGACAATGTTTATTCACATTAATAAAAAATCATTGGATATCATTCGTAAAAAACGCAACATGTTAAGGAAGACGTGAATGATATGTCTAAATTGACAAATTTGAATTATGTATCTACCTTGAGGAGAAAGTTTCAAATTTGGAGTTCAAAGACAAGCGATGGAGGAAGATTGTGCTATGGTCATGGGTTTTTTTTTTCTTTGAAGATGATGTCTTGAAGTTGTTGTTTTTGTTACTTTTCTCTAGATAAGTTTGTGATATGAAAAATTGTTGATGGTGTCTAGTTAGTGTAATGTTCTTAATTGTAATTTCTATTATTGTTGGTATTGTAGCGAAATTGTGTTTAGTTCGCAAGCTTCATTGTAATGTATTTCGTTGTTAATGAAGTGAATTAGGATCAATTTTGTGTTCATTTTTGGATTAGTTTTTTTATCTCATAATGGTGCATGCACTTTAGTTGAGTTCTTGCTGCTGTTTTTTCTTTATAGTTTTTGTGTAGTTTTTGGTAGAATTTAGGTACTGTTTGATCGAGCTTAGGTGTTAGATTTGAAGCTATTTTTATTCTAATTTCATAGATTTGTTATTCTTCAATGCTTTTACAATTTTATAGTTTGGTGAATTTCTCATGTTCAACTATAAGAATAGCTTTGAAACTTAAATTTTATTTTTCCGGAAGTGTAAAGTCATTTTGTGGCAGCATTGTGTAGTATCTATTGTGGTGCTTTAGAAGTATTCTTAATTTGGCTGGCCTGGCATGTTTCTGCAACAAATTGACAAATTCTTATTTGTATCAATGACACAATAAAATTGACTTATTTTAAGTGTTTTTAATCTAAAATAACTTTTAAGCACTTTTGGAGTACCTGACTAAGTTAATAGAAGTGGTTTAGTTAAAACTTATTAAAGTTACACATATATTAACCAACAAACTATGATATAAGTTATGAGGGGTAGTAAATGGTGCACATTAACAATATCTCGCCATTGCAATACATTTCTGAATATTCTGTTCATACAAAAGTAAGCTGAAATATGCAAGTCGTATTTCATCCACAAATTCACAATGTACTTCACCCTATGTTGAGCACAACAAAAATAATTAAGGATGAATCAATACAAAATTAGCAAATTCTTGAATTAGTCACTGCAAAAATATGTACGTTTCCTAAACGTTGGTCAATTCTTCTCTAATCTTGCCTTCTTAGTCTTCAATTTACCAACTTTTTTTTTTCCTTCTCTGCAACCAACTGGTTTGAGGTCATTGCTGCCTTGCCTTTCCAGGTAACTTTCTTTGGTGAATAAGGCAGATTGGTAGGCTCCATTACACCAAATTCATCTCCTTTGAAGCTAATTTTTCTAGTACCAGTTGGTCTTCGTTGTAATTTTTTTTGTTGAAGCCTAGTCCTTTCTTCAGATACCACCTTCGGCCTCAAAATTGGCTGGCCGTCTTCATCTTCATCTTCCTCTTCACCTTCCCATTCATCATCACCAATGGTTGAATGTTGATCAAATTGTTGTTCTTGTTCAAAAGTTTGATTCTCGTGTGCTGTTGTTAAGGTCACATCTTGCACTTTCTGGGAAGATCCTTCACCCATATTCTTTATCTTCTCATTCACCTGCAATTGTTGTCAAGGTCACATCTTGCACTTTCTGGGAAGATTCTTCACCCATATTTTTTATCTTCTCATTCACATGCAAAAACAACCATGAATATTTCATCGAATCAAACAAGCAATAAAATTAAGAATGTTTCAGTTTATAAGCATTCAAAAGTAACAAATTTTACCAAAGGACAAGTTCTGATTGTCACGCCCCGAGCCTACACCCTGGGCAGGACCGGCACTCGGAGACCATTGCTGGCCCCAAGCGAACCCTTGGCCTGGCTTTCTTAACTCAGCGGAAACCTGACTTAACAGAATAACTCAATGCCATGCAAAGACATAAACAACTTAACTGATAAAAATATGGCCCAAA